CCTATCCGACTGTACAACGCCGAAGTGGCGTCGTCATCCTGTATTTTGTTGTATCATCAGGGTAGTTCTACTGGCCCGGAGCCTTGCATGCGGACGGGCTGCACTTTCCTTTTTTGGCAGATCAGAAGGCGTGCAGTTTTTTTTTTTTTTCTGCTGCGTGGAGGCTTGACTGGGGACTCAGGGGTATGCAGCGGGGGACGGAGGTTTTTTTGTCGTGGAGTGTATCCCCGACGTGGATGTCAGCAAACAGGAATGAGGGATTGGGTGGACCTGACGTACCACCCACCCACCCCTAAACTGTCCATGTCTTCCTAGTCTGCAGCAGCGGGGGGGCGGCAGGGATCGTGCGTCTCAGTGAAGTAGGTGTCAGTAAACGAGGAGGAATTGCGTGCACCGTTTTTCTCACTGCTTGTCCGCGGCTGGCTACAAAAATCGGTACGTCGGTAGATGTGATGTGTGCTGTCTCCTGCCGGCTGGCCTGTGTATGTGCTGACGGCGTTGTTGTCGAACGTTGTCTTGTTGTGATCATGCTGGAGGCTGGATGTACATAGAGGGCGCAGTAGATCTCAAGATAGGGTGAAGTTAGGGAGGTTAGGGAGGGTGGGGGGCATGACTTTGGAGTGTTTTTTAGCTAGCAGTGGTGGTGTGCGGATTATGGTCCTGGTATGCTGCATCCTTCGCACGTAAGGCGAGTTTTTTCGGGGTCTTTGTTGTCATTTTCTCTGTTTTTAGAATAGCAGGGCTGTGTATGGGGCTCTAAAGAGTGTGCCACGCGTGGCCACGTGGTACAGAACCGAATCAGCAGGATCGCACTGCGGGGTTGACACCGGCCAAGCCGAATCACCGGACGGTCTCGCACCGTCCCCGTCCCCACCGAATCAGCAGCATCGCACGTCCGGGTTGTCGTCGCGACCAGGCCGTGCCGGCTTCGAGGGCTGGAACTGCATCGACCCGAACGTGCGATGCTGCTGATTCGGTTCTGTACCACGTGGCCACGTGTGGCATAATCTTTAGGGCTGTCCTTACGCTTTTGTGGCAGGACAAAACACAACAACATACGCTTTTTCGACGGAAACGGAAGGGTCGTCAAACCCAAGGCCCACGCGGGAAGTGCACCAGGTGTGCCCGCGTTGAAAGGGGTAGAAGTGTTTGTTTATTTGATTGCCTCCACCGCCCCCCCCGGGGCTGTACCCGGCGCGTGGCCAACGAAAATAAGCAAGTCTCGTGTCGGGAGAGACGGATGCGAACAACTTTTTCCTAGCCATCGCCTCCCCGCCCCCCCCCCCCCCCCCCCCCCCCCCCCCCCCCCCCCCCCCCCCCCCCCCCCCCCCCCCCCCCCCCC